AAAAAAAAAAAATCTAGCATCAGGGCTAGAGGTGTAGCTCAGTGGTAGAGTGCTTGCCTAGCATACTGGAACTCAAAACCCTGGGTTCAAGCCCCAGCACCACACACACACAAAAGGAAAAAAAAAAAAGGAAGGATGATAGCATTGCAGGTTGCACATCCATGGGCCACATAGAGAAAGCCCTCCAGGAGGATGGGTGCTGGGGAATGTTTTCTATTCTTAAGTGACTTTCTTTTTAATGACATGTACTGTATGTTACTGAGACTGAATGTTAAGGGAAGCCTTAAAGGAGCAGAATTTGGGGAAGTAGCCATGAGCACTTGTGACATCCAGAATTTATAGTCCCAAGACAGCAAAGGTGCAACCCAGCCATGCTGTAAGGTCAGAGCCTAGGAATCCTAAAAAGTGCCCCAGTGACTGGTGGAAAAATACATCCATTCCTAGAGCTGAATCAAAAAAGTCAAGCTGGTGTAGGGGTGTGGACCTGTAGTCCAGCTACTCTGGAGGCTGAGGCAGGAGTGTTGCCTGAACCCATCTCTAAACGAACCACCAACTTCCAGCTAGATATCAGATGAGTGGCTCTGCTCAGACCCACCTTATTCACACTCATGAGATGTTAGCTAACCATTCTGTTAGGCTGAGGGATATCACTAAAGAGCAAAGGAGGCCATGGCTGTGCCAGCTTTCCTCATGCAGCATATAAACCCTCTGTGTATGCAAGATGCCTCGGTGATGGCAGGCCTACTTGGAACAGCGTGTTGAGGTTTGTGTGCATGGTTCTGCATGGCACATCAGTGAGCTAGAAGGGACACTAACAGATGCAACAGAGACCAGACAGGCCAGGTTCTGTCCTAGGGATTTTCACGTTTTTCCTTTCATAGCTACGTAATGAAGTGCGCAGGTGTTTGGAAAAATGAAGTGATACCTTTCCCAGACCCTCCAGACACCTCTGAAGATTTGTTGGCTTAGAAGTCTGCCCATAAGCCCCGGGGGTGAGACTGAGCACTTCTCATAGTCACTCCCGAATGATCGAAATCAACTCCTTTTTCTTTTGTCCCTGAAGGACTTGGGGAATTCTCTCCACCTGTAGATCTTTCCTTAACCTCAACAGTTTACATGCCTCTGATACTATGTGCAATATTTCTGGTTGACACTTGTATCCATTATTAAGAGATTAGTGCAGATCGCAGGTTTCCTACTGTCTTCCTCTACCCCAAACAAGCCTGCCATGAGGCAGGATCCTAGGGATTTGGCTCTTGTTTCCCCACTGCTCAGAGGCTTCCACTCCACTGTCCCTAGCCGCCTCCTACCCGTCCCTTTAAAAGTTCTATAGAGTTTCAGCTGCAGTCCAAAAGTAACTAAGACAATGCCTAATGTCAAGGACAAAGTCAATCTGCTGGTTCCGTTGGCTATGTTGAAATCACAAACTCCAAGGGTGGCAAGGGGGTCTTTCAATGGTCTGCTTTCAAAAGCAGGGAATTTATATTCTCTAAGGCCTTGAATTGATTTTTTTTTCCTCACAAAAAAGTCTGATAAGCTAATTTTTAAAAAAGAAATGCCATTAAGTATGTTGTATTGTGGTTTAAAATGACTAACGAGTTCTGGAAAGAAAAATATTTGATTTTGAATCTTAAATGTTCTTAAAATTAGATTTGAATGAGCGCAAAGTATGAATATTTTGTTTCTTTATGGAGGACATGTGGAAAGGATTTGAGGGTTTGGGATGGGAGAAGTATTTTGCAGAGCTATCAATGTCCAAATAATTTTTAAAAAATAATAAAGGTATTTAAGCAGTGTGTGTCCAATTTCTAAATCAGAACAGTCCTGTTAGAAACCAGTTCCTTTCTGGCCCTGGAGATGCACAGTTCTGCCAGGCTGGCAAGAGACGCATATGAGCCAAAGCATTCATATGGCCACAGCCAAGGCCCTCCCTGGACTACTCCTTTTCATTCTGGAGGTTTCTGGCCAACCACTCTACACCTTTGTTTGATCTCCATTCTGTTCAATTATAGATCTCCTTAGGAACATGGAAGTGCTTCGTCTTTAGTCCTGTGTGTGAGATTCCCACCTCTCACACAGGAAGTATACACATTAAGCTATCATCTGCTGCCTGTTATGGCCTGCTGTCCAGACAAGTCAAATCAGGCATGCATGTGAGCTGCCTTTGCCACTGTGACCATTTTCCTCTGGGAATGTGAGAGCCCCAAAGCACTGGCAGCACCCTGAAGCTGGGTGTGGATGGAAGGCCCTGGCCCTTAATTTCTGAGGTCCATGACTCCACAATTACCACCAGGTTAGGCAGCACCTAGGGATACAGCCAGAAACAGTTGAATTCTGAAGAAATGTTTTAAGTGCTGAGGAGGTTTAAATTCTAAGCTGGTTGAAATGCTAAAGGAATTGACATCAATGACAGTTCACTTGTGTGTATAAAGTATCAATTCTATTATTTAAACTAATAAGCTTTTTTTTTTCTTACTGTGAGGATGTTTACGAACATGTTCACAGCCGGGCACTGGTGGCTCATACTTGTAATCCTAGCTAATCAAGAAGCTGAGATCTTAGGATTGCTTCTCAAAGCTAGCCTGAGCAGAAAAGTCCTCAAGAGACCCTTATCTCCAATTTACTACTAAAAAAAAAAAACAACAAAAAACAAAGTAGCACTGTGGCTCAAAGTGGTAGAGGGCTAGCCTTGAGCAAAAGAAGCTCAGGGACAGTACACAGGCTCTGAGTTCAAGCACCAAGACTGGCAAAAAAAGGACTCACAACTCTGACCCACTGTGTCAGTGATGATTGTGAGTCCAGGCTTGAGCTTCCAATAAATGGCTCTCGTGTACTTGCACCGGAAAAAAAGAAAAAAAAATAATTTAGTAAACACCTATATACCTTTTCCTGGAGTCAACAATCAATAGCATACTTCTACATTTACTTTCACTGCTTTTGCTAAATATTTTGAGCTCTGTGAGAATAAGATACAGACATGACTTTTCAACCTTGTTGTAGACTGTCTTTTCCCATCACCACATTCATATGTTGAAGCCCTGCCCTGGAGTTGGAGGCCTGGAGTTGTGATTAGAGTAACATGAGTTGAAGAGGGTGCTTCTCATGATAGTTGAGTACCCCAATAAAAAGAAACACTAAAGAGCTTACTCTTTGTTCCAAGCAAGACCACATGAGGCCACAGCAAGAAAGCAACTGTCACCAGAAATGGAACATGCTGATCTTGGACTTCCAGTGTCCAGAGCTATGAGAAAATGTGTTATTTAAGCCACTGTCTCTGGTGGAGTTTTTTTTTTTTTTGCTTGTTTTTGTTTTTGACAGTTATGGGGCTTGAACTCTGGGCCCAAGCACTGTACCTCAGCTCTTCAGCTAAGCTCAAGGCTAGCACTCTACCACTTGAGCCACAGTGCCACTTCCGGTTTTCTGGTGTTTTATTGGAGATAAAGGTTTCACAGACTTTCCTGCCTGGGCTGGCTTTGAACTATGATCCTCAGATCTCAGCCTCCTGAGTGGCTAGGATTATAGGCGTGAGCCACCAGCGCCCAGTGTCAATGGTGTTTTATAGCAGCCAGTGCAAGTCAAGACAACCTTTAAATTCTGCATGTGCATCTACTAATAAAGCAACTAGCAACAGTTCCCTAATATTCACTGGCCAATCCATTTAAACTTTCCCCAAATTGTCATAACTGTGTTATACTTAGGAAAAAAAAATCCAGGCAAAGTCTTTATCCCTGAATCTGGAAGAGTCCCCCTGCTTTTCTCCCCTAGTCACTAATATTTTGAAGAACCCAGTAATTTACATCATAAAATGTCCCACTTTTCACATGTCTGTTGTTTCTTTGTGCCTAAACTCAAGAACAGTATTTTGGGGGCAAGAATTCCACCCTATCAGTATACCTGTAAGGGCAGGTAGTATGCTCAGTTGCAGCACTTACAGGGTTACCTAGCCAGGCACCAGTATCTTATGCCTGTCATCCTATTTTTTTTTATTTTTGTCAGTCTTGAGCCTGAATTCTGGGCCTGGGCGCTGTCCCTCAGCCCTTCAGCTCAAGGCTCTACCATTTGAGCCATAACACCACCTCTGGCTTTTTCTGCTTACGTGGTGCTAAGGAATCGAACCTAGGGCCTCATGAGCCACCTTCCCAACCCCTCATTCTAACTATTCTGGAGGCTGAGATCTAAGGGTCATGGTTCCAAACCAGCCGGTGCAGGTAAGTCTGTGAAGCTCTTATCTCCAATTAATCACATATACACACAAATCCTGCAGTACAGCTGTGGTTCAAGTGGTAGAACTCCATCCAGCCTTGAACTAAAGCCAGGAGACGAGGCTGGGAAGGTGGCTCAGTGATAGAGTGCTTGCCTTGCATGCATGAGGCCCTGGGTTTGATTCCTCTGCACCACATAAACAGAAAAAGCCGGAAGTGGCTCTGTGGCTCTAGTGGTCGAACGCTTGTCTTGAGCTAAAGAGCTGAGGGACAGCGCCCAGGCTCAGAGTTCAAGTCCCATAACCGACCAAAGGAGGGGGGAGGGAAGCTAAGAGACAGCGCCCAGATCCTGAGTTCAAGCTCTACTACCAGGGAGAACACACACACACACACACACACACACACGATGTTACCTAGGAACATACTTTTAACCTTCTCCAAAATGAGAGCCACCAAGTTTTCAGCTCAGCGCCTCTTCTTGGCACAGTGTAAAGCGTCTCCAGTCCAGGGTCCATCCCTAGAGAGTCCCTCTTTCTGGTCTCAGCACAGGTCCAGAACCTCAAAACCCCGCCCCGGGCTGCCTGGCCCCGGCTCCGCCCACAGGCCCCATCCAGCCAGCCCCGCCCTGAACCCGGCGTGCGGAACAG